TTTTCTCCCCTCCTCCCCCGCTCTCTGACGCCCGCCACCCGTCCCCCCACCCTCCCCAAGCCTGACTATGGGGTCTGGAGTGCAGCCTGAGTTTGGGGACTTTGAGTCACCCCACCATACAGTCTCAGCGGAGGTGAGCTGGTACAGAGGTAGCAGGTGAGCCTCACCCCAAATGCCCTCCTCACACCCTGCCTGCCTCCCAGTCAAGGCCTGAGGAAAACTGCCGGCAGCAACTCCAAACAGCAGTATGAAAGGATTACCAGACGGGGACTCGAACTCCCGAGGCCACAGCTGGCTCAAGGCCCAGCTCAAGACACTGTGGTGTCACAGCCAGGAATCCAAGCCGCCTCGGGAGGAGAGTTCCCATCCCATCCTGTGCCCAGGCGAGCAGGTAAACACACGCTCTTCGCTCTACAGCCCCGGGGCCGAGGAGGGGAACCTGGGCTGATGCCCTCAGTCGGTGTGAAGCCGCAGGGCGGGGACTTTAAAGCCAACTTCACAGTTGGGTGTCAGGCCACAGGAGGCTAGTGTTAAAAAATAAAAAATTAAAAATTAAAAATAAAAATAAAAGATGGACGACTTTAAGCCTCTTAATGAGCACTGTTAGGAAAGGATTAGTGACAGGAAAGTCAATGAATCCAATTAGAGGAGTTGCAGCCTCTCTGAACTTGGTGAGCGGAAGGGGAAAGCATCAGAGACGAGCCCCACGGGTCACCAGTGGGGCTCTGGGGCCAGAGGGCAGCGCTCCAGGCCCAGCGCCTTCTGCCCACGCATGTGCTCCCCCTCTGCACCCCCACGGGCTCCTCTGGGGGTGGGGGGGACGGCAGCATCTGCCTGATCAGGCTGTTAGGGGATTCAGCGGGTTGATACAGGTAAGATCCTTACAGCGGGTCCAGGCCTAGTGAGTGCTCAACACCCTCGAAATACCGGCTTGATTTCCACATAATTTTTCCTCTGGTCTACTCTTTATTAGATTTTTTTTCAGTTTACTTAAATTTTTAAAAACTTGTAAAGTCTGTGTTCCCATCAGCATTCCCAAGTTCTTTCTGGAGTGAGACCCAGCAGACAAGCAGAGACTCAAGTCAGCGACAATCTGCCAAGTGTGAACTCTAGGCTCAGAGCCTCCCCGCCCTGCACCCCCGCCCCAGGTCCACGGTGGCTGGCCCTTGGCTGAGTGTAGGCAGTGAGGAGGGCCTACAGGGGTCTGCAGGGGACCCCTCAGGCAAGGCCGCAGAGGGACCTAAGAAATTTGTACTTGACCCTCAAAGCAATGGGCCCCGTTTGAAGGCTGAAACCAGGAAATGAAAAAAACCTGGTCAGCTTTGGAAAACTCATCAGGGCTCCTCCAGGGTTGGAGGGCCGGGGTCTCCTGGAGGGACGGCCACTTGGAAGGGCGCAGGCATGGCGCCGCCGCAGGGCCGGCAACACGGGTGTGCGCCCTGTGCAAGTCACACGTGGTCCCGTGCTTAGGAGGGCTCGCGAGCCCTTAAAGCTCTGCTGCAGCTGTCCTCCAATTCTTAACACTTTCCCAGCGGGGGGCTCTTCATCTTATTGTGCACTCGGCCCCTGAGGTCACGCAGCCGGCCCTGCCTTGCAGGGGACACCTCCCTTGCCCCTGTACCTGCCCTTCCTGGTGAATCAGTGAAGGTCGTGATCCCCTTTAAAAGGAAGAAACTGCATCTCTAGGCTGCAGTCACCTGTCACAGGACACAGCTGGTCAGTGCAGGGTAGGGGCACCCCCCAGGTGTTGGGGTTTCGGGGGCCCCTGCTGTGGGGGAGCCGGCCACTGTTGCCTCCCCGAAAGCAGCGCTCAAGCTCCGCTGGGCCCGGGCGGCAGAAACCGCCCCATCGCCTGGCCCAGGCAGAGCGGGGAGGCAGCAGGTGGTACTCAGGGAGGCAGCAGGTGGTACTCGTGCCCGGCCACCAGGAACTGGGTCCGGTCTGGACCAATGCCCCCGGATCTGGGTCACAAGCCCAGTTCCACAACTACAGTGTCCAATTGCAGTGTTCAGCAATTAATGACACAATGCAACAGAAGCAAAGCAAACAAAAGTAACCTTTGGAGGCCCAAGATCCTTCTTCTGGATCCCGCCCCTCCCCCAATAATTTAGAGCAGATTCAAGGAAAGAAGGGGGAAAAAAAAATCACCAGTAGCTGAAGACCTGCCCAGTGAAGGGAGAGCTGGCTATCAAATCACACCCTGCATCTGGCTTCCTTGAGAAGCACTTCCAAGGAGCCAGTGTGGCCCAGGCCCTGTTCTAGAAGATACCAGTGAATAAACAGATGCAAGTCTTTGCCCTCCGGAGCTCCTGTTTTAACGGGAGGGAGAAAGAGAATAAGCACAATAAATCAAGTGAATTATGTCGTGTTAGAGAATACAGGGGCTTCTGCAAAATAACGCAAATAATGAAAACAATGGCCCAAATGCACTGGGAGCTTAACTGTGTCTCAATGCTGCACACACATCATCTCATTTAATCCTCCCAACAAATCCTCCCAACTCTCTCATCGCCATATTACAGACAGGAAAGCACATCGGACGACAGTTGCACAAGGCCCCGTGGACAGTAAGAAAACAAGGAGTATCGATTAGGAAGGGCAAAATCCTGATTTTGTTTTAAGGAGAGCAAACAGAGCAGGAAGCCTGGTTAACCCCCTGCCCCCAGCCTTGAAGTGGGGGAGGAGGTGCCATCAGAGTGTGCGCTCTCCGCTCCCCGTTCTTAATAGATGTGACAGGTTGTGGGGCCCTACCAACCCTCCCCTTCCTCCCAGGGCTAAAGTTTTGGAGCTAACAGCCCCAAATTCAAACCCCAGCTTCACCAGCTCACCATGGCCCTGAGCAAATGGTCTCCCATCCTTTGATTTAAAATGAGATTAAAACTCTCTCTCACGGGTGACAAGGGCAATGCCCTATGCCCGCCTCCCTTCTCCCCTCCAGTGCTTTCGGGGGCGCGGAGGGGCACGGGCTGAGGGCTGCGCACGGTAAACACTTGATGCCTCTGTACCGAGACAAGGAAGGTGTCTGGGATGGTGGGGCCTTGCTTCAAGCCTGCGCCCTGGAGTTAATAGACCTTTACAAAACGCAGGTTTCTGGACACAAATGGGGCTCGTCCTCCAAGGAGGGAATGGAACGGGTTAAATCCAAATTCCCTGCCAGGAGGTGAGCCCACACCCTCAAGGGACTGATTAAAGCACTGCATTAAGCTGGGGTCCCCATGCCACTGAATGCTCCAAACTGCCAACTCAAGGGGCACCTGGTCAGACTCGGCGTGACCGGGGCCCTGGCCTACCCTTCAGCTCGCACTTGTGAGGCCCCAGGCAAGACCCTCAGCCTCTTAAAATGAGGGGATTACGTACAGGCCATGATGCCCCCAAGGTCAAAAATCATTGACTCACATGGGGAAGGGGAAGGGGCCGGAATTATCGGCCTGGGTAAGGGGAGGCTTTGCGCAGCCAGGCATCCAGGTGCCAACTGGGGCTCTCACGGCTGGAATGTTAATGTCAGTAGGAGGACCTCCTGCCCCCCAAAGTCCAGCAGGGGGGATTCCTTGTTCCAAACTGCCCTGTGTCTGCGAGCAATTGTCCGGGACCTGGTGCCAGCCCCAGGGCTGCACGGAAGGTGCAGGAAGCTTGCAGATGGTCACGAGACGGCCTCAGCGCCCAGACAGGCTGGAGCACCACGTCAGCCAGCGTGAGAGGCCCAAGGCCGCCACCCTTGCCAGGCCTAACTCCCACTGTGCCCCCCTGCCACGGGGGTCGCTGCCAGGCTTTTCTTCCAGAGAAGGCTGTCACTTTGCCCTGACTTCATTCACACCTGGAGGGCGGGACGGGCACTCAGGGAAGGAGTGGGCCCTCTGGGAGGTGAGCCCCAGGATCCCGTTTTGTAGCCAAGGAAATGGCCTCATAGAGAAGCTTCTCGCCCGCTAACTCCCACGTCCGAGTTCTAAGCCTGCACTCAGGCCTCACAGGTGGGCCTCGATGGTTAGCCCCCTTCCGCAGGTGGCGGCACGGGGAGTCCGAGAGGGCTGGGACCTGCGGGCAGACGCTTCTCCCTGACTTCCAGGGCACAGCCCGCTGCTTAGTGCAAGGGGCAGGGCCCGGACTCTACCTCGGCTCCCACCCACACCGACGCTGTTTTCCTGACCAGACACTGTGAGTGGCGCGTCAGGCCAGGGCATCCCTGGGGCTCCATGTCCCATGGGTTAGTCTGGCGGAGACCCCTTCCCAGGCAGGCTTCCAGAAGGCCTAGCCCAGGACAATGTGCACCATGAGGCGGCTGGACCCACAAAGGACCCATTGTGGGGACTGGAGAAAGCCCAGGCGGGCCCTTGGGGCCCCTGCACAGCACTGCCCCAGGCTTCATGGCCTCTCCCCTCGCCATGGCACCCCCATACCCAGAGCACAGGACAAGGACTGGCTTGGGGACAGGCTCCTGCTCTGTCTGCTCCGCCGGGGGCAGCCTGAGTCTGTGGTAACCTAAAACCCCTCAGCTGCCCCGCTGGTGGCGAGATGGGCTGCAGAGCCTGCGGGTCCCTGGGGGCTCCTACAAGGTGTCCAGGACGCACCTGTCAGCTGGGGTGGGGTCCCCGGAAGGAGGCTCTGCAGAGGGCAGGAAAGAGATGGCTACGGGGGCTCCTGTCTGGAGGAGGGAGCAAATCTCTGTCCCAGAATGGTGGGAGAGGGGCGCAGGCTTGCGAAGTGTGAGGACCTGCTGCAGGGAAGTGGGCAGGCGGGGGAGGGGGCTCCGCGGAAGGGAGGCATGGGGCAGCCCGAGGTGGGTGGCTTTACCCCGGGAGGTGAAGGGCTGCACGAGGGGGCCGTCCGTGGCTCGGGCTGGCTTTGTGTGCGGCAGGGGCCGCCCGGGGTTCCCGAGGGCCTGCCAAGGCATGCACGGGGCAGGGGCTGCTGGTGCGTGCCAGGCAGGAGGCTTCCGCAGCGTGCCCGGGCACCCCCAGCGCCTGCGGACCGGGCTTCCCGGCGGCCGGGGTCGCCCCACTCACCTCCTGAAGTCAAAGGGCATCGTGCCGTCGCCGCCGAGGGATGGGAGCGCTGCAGGCCAGGCGGGCCGCGGCGCCGCGTGGGTCCTGCCGGCTGCCAACGCCTCCTCCGGCCGCCCCGCCCCCGCCGGGCGCCCCCCGCCCCGACACCGGCCGCTCGCCGCCCGCCGCCGCCGGGAAGTGACGCTCCGCGCAGCCCATTGGGCGCCGCCGGCCCGGACGCCCCTTCCGCCGCCTGGTTTAAGGGGCCCGCGGGCCCGGAGGGGGAAGGGCAGGCCTTTGGAAGTCGAGACTCTCTGAGGGGAAGGGAGCCCTTAAGGACGCCACTGCCCTTGCCAAGGCCCCCACTGTGTGTTCCTTCACCCTCTCCCTCTCTCTGCGGCTTCGGGTAAACCCCGCTGCCTCTCTGAGCCTCTGTTGCTTGCATTTATAAAACAGATTCCTTGAGTTGTGACGATTAAACGGAATGGTCCAGATTTGGGCCGTGCACAGCGTCTAGCTGTGAGTAAGGGCCTGATAACCGGGTGAGAAGAGAGTGCAGGCAGCCCTAGGTTTGTAAGGTGCTTGCTTTGACAAAAGGCGCTTCCCCGCTGCGCCTCTCTGGGGAAGGCCCCTGGCTCCTCAGAGTCCCACCCCTGTCCATCCTGTGCACGCAGGGGACTGTGACACTTACTCAAGGGCTTTTCCCCTGGGGATCAAATGAGAGCTGGCTTAGTGCAGCGCCTGGCACCTCCAAAGAGCTCAGTCCCCTGAAGCTGCTGTGGTTGGCCGGTCACTATCTCTGCTTTCCTCTAACAAAGACACTCAGGACATTCAAGTTGTCTCAGAGGCACATGGCAGCCTGGCCTCTGAGCCACTGAAGTTCACAGGTAGTCAGTATCTCCCTGGACCAGAGGAGATGCTGGTTGAGATAACCCAAGACCCCAGTAGCAGAAACTCATTCCGAACTTCCCCCTTTCTGGGGCCCGGCCATCGACCTTGTGGTGGCACTGGGGCTTGAAAACCCCTAGGGAGGAAGGTGGAGGCTCATGTTCTAAAAGCAGGGCCTTCAGACAGGCAGTTTGTCTATAAATAGAGGGCCATGGGGGTGCCTGGTCCTCTGGGGGCATTTGGACTGCACCGCTGCAGGGCAGGGCCTGGTTGGAGGCTGGGACCCTGAGCCAAACTATTCCCCTTACATGGCCTGATCAGTTGCCTCTCCTGCCCTCTGATCTCTGGCATTCTCCATTCATTTGTTCATTCATTCACTCATTCACTAAGGGACTTGGTACTCTTAGGGGAGAGGAAGAAACCTCAGCCTGAACTGGGCAGAGAATGCACGTTTTCCAACAAGCCACTCTTCCTGTCTTCATAACTGAACCGTGAACGGAGCCCAGACTGGAGCCAACTGCATGGGTTCATGGTCATCTTGTCCACTTACTAACTTATGTTACCTCTGCCCTTCAGTCTTCTCATCTGGAAAAATGGAGGCAATACTAGTACCTTCGTCATAGATCTGCTGTGAGGATGAAATGTGTTGATGTATGTCAAGGGCTTAGGTCCATACCTGGCACAGTGCAAATGAAAGACAGCATTGACTTTAGTTGCTATTTTTGTATGATGATGGAGCTTCCATTTTTTTGGCTGGGTATATGGGTACTCAAGATGAAAGTTTCATTTCCCAGCTTCCCTTGCAGCTGGGTGTGGCCATGTGACTAAGTTCTGGCCATTGATACGTAAGTGGAAGCAGCATGTGGCAGCTTCGGGGATAGTTGGTACACATTACTCTCTGCATCCCTTTCTCCATCTGGATGCCCAGAATGTGGACGTCACCATCCTGGACCATGCGGTGAAGGCCTCATAGTGCAGGGCAACAAGATAGAGGCGCCTGGGTCTCTGTCACTGAGTGTGGCATGGTGCCTGTCCTCAAATGCCTACCCAGACGTCTAGGCAACAGAGAAATAAACATCTATCTTGTCCGAGCTACTGTTATTTTGGATTTTCAGACACTTACACCTGAACCAGGTGCTAGAACACCTGCCCAGCCTCAGCTCAAATCCTGTATACGGCCTCAGCTGGGTCCCCCAGGATATGCTCACATGGCGCCCGTTCTTTACCACCAAGACCCCTCTGTCATGGTGCTTGAGTATCTTTATGCCCTGGAAGCTGGCTTCCTCCAGAACAAGTGAGTCGGGAGAGTTTAAGCAGAAGGCTCAATGCCCTGTATGACCTGACCTCAGGAGTCACACACTGTCATTTCTGCAACGTCCTGTTCGTTCCTTGGGAGAACCTGTCACAGTTTATGACTAGACTACTGTAACTGGTTAGTGTCTACCTCCCCATCTTGACTGGAAACTCTCCAGGGAGGATGGATGCCTGTTCGTCCCTGTCGTGTCCCAGCCTCCAAGCAGAGCCTGCCTGTGGAGGGAGCGATGACAATGAAGGCTGCTTGGAGCCTTCCCAGGGAGGCAGGTCTTCCCAGAGCACAGAGGGCGAGGAGCAGGACACATCAGTGAGGCTCGGTGGCGGCTGCTGAGGTCTGCACACAACCAGGCTGCCTGTCCCGACGGTCCACCTGCCCAAAGACGGGGAGGCGGAGCTAAGGAGCAAGTGGGGAAGCTCCAGATCTCTTGGCCCGGGGAGCGACTTACCAACAGCTGAGTTTTAGGATTCTTCACCTGCGGCGCCCTGTGGTAGCCGGCCTCCTGGTATTCCCATGCCCTTGTGTAATAATCACTTCCCACAATGAAGAGGCCTGATCTGGGTAACCAACAGGACGTTGCAGAAATGACAGTGTGTGACTCCTGAGGTCAGGTCATACAGGGCATTGAGCCTTCTGCTTAAACTCTCCCGACTCACTTGTTCTGGAGGAAGCCAGCTTCCAGGGCATAAAGATACTCAAGCACCACGACGGAGGGGTCTTGGTGGTAAAGAACAGCCCCAGCAGCTGCTCCTGGGCTCCTGATGTTAAGCCACTGATCTGTGGGTAATCGGTTACACGGCAGTGGGTTCGTGATACAGCCCCTGTCTCCCAGCTAGTCTAGTGAAATGGAAACCACTTCAGGCAGACAGCCCCCCACCTGGGTGGTCTGGACACATTGCTTAACTGACTGGGTGTCTGAGAATAAAATGAAGGATAATAATACCTTACCTGTGGCAGGTAGCCTTTAAAATCGTCACCCCAATTAGTCCACCTGTCGGTATTCACACCCTTGTGTAATCCCCTTCCTTAGCGTGTAGGCTGGACTTTACTGACTCACTTCTAAGGAACAGAAGATGGCAGAGGTAATGGCACGTCGCTCCTAAGGCTATGCTATGAAAATACTGTGGCTTCTTTCTTGGACACTCTCGTTGTCCCTCAGGTCCATCGCCCTGGGCAAGCCAGCTGCCACGTTGTGAGGCAGCCCCCCCACCCCCGAGAGGTCCCTGCGAGTGAGCTCTCTGAGGCCTGACAGCCACCATTTGAATGGGCTTAGAAATGGAGTCGTCAGCCCCAGGTCAGCCTTGAGGTGACCGCAGCCCTGCAGCCTCATGGGAAACCCCGACCGGCTGACCTGCATCTGGATCCTGTGAGATGATGACTGTGTTAAGCCCCTAAATCTGGGGTAATTTGTCACACAGCGACAGAAACAAACACGTGGTCCTAGAAGCTTGCTGTGAAGATGAAGTAACATGTCCAGTGCTCAGCACATAGTACATGTTCATTAAATGCTTGCTGAATGAATCAGTCAATTAACAATGGAAAGTTCTATAGCATAGAATGTTCCCTGGATCCAGTGCTCACTCCCCATCGGTCCCGCCTACAAATGCGTCACTGAAGTTGTTTCAAGCTGGGGACCGGCTGGGTCAGATTTGTTTTTCTGTAATAGGAGATGGCTTTGTGTTCCACGGGTGTGGCTGGTTCTGCTGAAGTCTGAATAAAGAGAGATTAAGAAATAATAACCCTTTGTCAGCTCAGAGAGGTCTGGAGGGTAACTTGAGCCTTACTTAGAAGGTAGGCTTCTGACCAAACCACTCTTGTTTCTTGTTCTACTCAAGTCTCATGACCAACCAGAAGACAGTCATTCATTCGTTCGTTCGTTCGTTCTTTCGTTCGTTCGTTCGTTCATTCATTCATTCATTCATTCATTCACCGAACCCCTCTTTATGACAGGTCCTCTGGATGTAGCAATGAACACAACACCCCTGTTCACAAGAGGCAGGAAGGGGGTGAGCAAAAATGTGTTGCCATTTAAAAAGCCAGGGTCTGACGACCCACTTCTGTGCGTGTAGTTTTGTGTTGCGAATGCGGTGGCGAGGGCAGCACCAGAGGTTCTGGGAGGCTGGAGGGGGATGCCTAGTTCTACCCATGGGGGAACTCAGTCTGAATTCGTTCAGTGGACGGTGACGGGAATCATCGCCAATCAACGTGCACTGTCTCAGGCCGAAAAAGAGAGAAGTCCGGAGGCGGACTTGGACTTCAGGCACAGCTGAATCCAGGCACATCCACGGCAGCATCGGGAATCTCTCCCCGCATCCCTGGGCCTGTCTTCTTCCTCTGGCTCTGGTCTCAGGCAGGCTCTCTGTTCGTACTGGCAAAATGTCTGCCTGTAGCTCCAGGCTGATGCTTTCTGCCTCAGCAGTGCCAGCAGATAAAGACGACCTGTTTCCTGATACTCCCAACAAAGACTCTTGGGCTGACCCTCAGGGGCCTGGCTTAGGTTAGAGCCTTGAACAGTAGCCTCTCCAAGAAAGGAACCTGCGGATTGGCCAGACCTAGGCTGAACGCCAGCTCCTAGAGCCTGGCGTGGAATAGCCTCATTCTACACACACAGATTCAGGATTCAGATGGGAGAAGGGTGGTTTCCTAAAAAAACAAAACAACAGCAACAAAAAACCAAAAACAATGAAACAAAGCACCACTGCCAAAGATGGAGAGGATGTTGGGAGGCTAAATCACCAGGCATTTTCTTCTACGGGAAGTCAGGGAAGACTTCCTGGAGTAGGAAGAGTGACAGCTGAGACCCGAAGAACAAGTAGGTATTAGGGGGAGAGAGGCAGGCATCTTTCTGTGTTTCCTGCGAGGACCCCTAGGCCAGAAGGGAGGAAAGAGAGAGGGAGCCTTCCGAAGAGTTGAGGGTCTGCCAGAGGCTAGAAGGAGACCTCGGGGTCAGGGCTTCGAC